TTTAATCGTAAATCGCAAAGACAATTTCAATAAATTTATCTACCAAAATAAATTGCATGTATACGTATACATATATCAAAAGAAACCGATAATATATCGAAATGTCATTAAAAATAATCCGTTATGCTGCGGCAGAGCGGCAGAACGGCAGAGCGGCAGAGAGAACGGCAAGAATTTTGAAATGCTCCCTTATATCGAGTTGTATGTAGGAGATGAAAATTAGGAAATTAAATTTGACATAAAACTGTCGCTAGGCTCAAGTTTGAGAAACACTTCCTTGATAGTGAGCAATTGAAAATAACGAAAAAAGTGTTTTTTTTAATTGATCACTGTGAAGGAAGTGTTCTCAAACTTGAGGCTAGCGACAGTTTTGTGTCAAATTTAATTTTCTAGTTTTCATCTGCTATACACAACTCTGTAAAAATAGATCTTAATGGAAAAGAACACAAAAAAACATTTTTTTATCAAGCAGTGCGGCGTCTAGGAACCCGGCTGCAGCGTATATTTTTTAATAAATTAAACTACTATAATTCATATTCCAATCTACAGTCCCAAAAATGCTTCATTCATAGAGAAAATGTCAATTAATTATTGTTTATGAACTGCCTGCTATCGGTAAAGTGGTAACCGTTTGTCCGCTAAAACAGTAATGGTTACCATTGCATTCCTAATGTGAACCGCGCAAAAGGAAAGAAAGGAGAAAACCATGAACACTAAAGGTTATCCGACAAGGTCCATCTTTTTCGCAAATGACACTGTTAAAAGTCCTACCTGCTTTGATCATCGAACTCAAACATCACTTAGTCATAAGCAGACACTTATTTTCAACTCTTAGACAAAAAAAACAGAATATACACACGGTATGTTCACGGGAGTTTCTGTTTTCGATAAATAAGCTCTAGCCAATAACTCGCAAACAGTGTCAGACAATCTCGGTTCTATACTACGAGCTAGACTTTTGGGCAAGTATGTAAGTTATATATAAATTGAATCAAGAGGTTTTTAAGTTACAGTAGTGCGGTTTTCATGGCAGTTTCAGAGATGTGATCTCGAATTGTTTCCTTTGATTGCCTATACTTTCAAATCGGTCCTTTTTACTACTACAATGTGTATTCTTACCGATTTCTCAAAATATTCTCAGCATTTCCACTTGTGCTATCTTCAAGTTCCTTAGCTTATCAACGTAGTTGAACTTAGAAGAAAACTCATGTTCGCTTCCATATCTTGGTGTACCAGGTCCGGGAGTACGTAAGTAGGCATCACCTGAAGCTGGGTGTACATCAACAGCATCATCAACTGTAGGTTTTTCTGATTTTTTTAATACTAGATTCCTACAATAGATATTTTAATACAAAAGTATTTAAAAAATCCCAGAGAAATAATGCAGAGAAACAGCTAATTAAATAACATACCCGTTCTTCTATAGCACGTTCTAATTTTTCAATTGAATTATCACGTTTCTTCACTGTATGTTTATAATTAACTTTAGTTAAAATAGAAAACAAGCTAACGGTGATGATTTTTTGAAATCTTTCGATTAAGTAGAAATACTTGTGTGTTTTGTCTGTCTGTTTGCACCTTAAATTTTTCAATCTCAGTCAGACTTCTTGTGATTTTATCGAATTTTAAGCGATGCTACATAAGTTTTTCTGGTGGGTTTATCAAGACTGATAAGACGGTCTCTAAAAAAGAATAATTGTGCGTATACGTGTTCGACAGGTTGAATTTTACGGATCTCGTAATATCTTGGTTAAACTGGCTGCCTAAAAACCGAGGGATCACGAGGAGGCAGTCGATGATTTCACATAAATCACAGTCCAAAATTGCATGATTCAACGCAGCTCACGCAACACGAGTGGATGGGTATAAAGATAAATGAAATTTAGATATTAGCGACCCCTTCGTGGTCGAGTGGAAGGATCTCATAACCTACGGACAGATTTTCTCTTCAAATCAGATCCTCGCATGCCAAGATGGGTTCTGTGCGCGTTCCGAGTGAAATCGGTCTGTATCCCTCGTCGTGTGCAAACTCAAAGTATCGTCGCTCAGCAGGTATCACAGATCCAAAACACGAAAATAAGAAAATAAAAGTCCAAAATAAGAAAAAACTGATAAAAAGAAGTAGAAAATCAGTAGACCTTAGGGCAAAAAAGAGCAGAAACGAGGCAGAAAAAGTTCCAAAAATCAGAATTTTTCTGCCAAAATCAGAAGATCTGGGATCCCTGTCGCTCAGTACCACACGTGTACGAATCGAAAGAACGGTTTAGTTGTTTTTTTTACTTCTAGTCACGTAAGCCTTGGATTAAGTTAATTCAGTGTATCAGAATGATTCACGGTACTTGTAGTAACACCTGCTACTCATCGCTTTTTTTTACAAAATAGTCAAGAATGAAGAAAAATTCCTACTCATTTGAGGTCTAGAATACAGACGAGATGAATGACTAACGTTATACTTTTCGTTGTGTTTGTGTAACATCAATGAGATTTTTCTTTTCTGTAACGTTATCCATAGACAGACTATATAGTAGTGTTTCTTTTGGACGAAAGGAGAATGAATAACGAAACTTTTATTTTTATGCAATTCGTATATGTTTTCTTTTCTGTCTGTCTATCTTTAATCTTTTAATCTTTTTAAAAAAATCGTGAAAGTGTGAAAGACGCTTGTAAGGAAGAAGTCACAAACTCAAGTAGCCTGTTACGGAGTATAGCATTATTTACCTTCGTTGAGTCTTTTTTCTTTCTTATGACTCATACTTTCACATGTTGACTGAAATGTATCCATACACTTTCAAAGGATACGAAATAAAATCATCAGATCGATTGAATTAGATCATATAAGAAGCTGTTTCTGGGAACCAAATCCCTTTTTTTCCTAAAAAAACCTTTTATGAACTTTCACATCTGTATAGTTGCAAAGTGAAATTAAGAAACAATCATCAATGCACTGAGAATCTGTACTCCAGTCTCTACCACATTTATTACTGGTTCACAGAAACAAATGGAAAATTTATCCCAAATTACTGTGATTGTTGCCATGTAAAACCTCTATATTAGCACAAAAATCAAAAGTGCGTAGATGATTACATCATTTTTTTCACTTACAATCGCGTGAGTTTCGAGGCAAGAAGAATATTGAAATAAAATAATTAGCGTTTTTCTAATATTAAAAACAACTTACACGTCTTATTTGTTCAAGTATTTCGGTTCTCCAGCAATTCTGATAAAGTCATTTTCTGAACGTTTTCTTTATGGCTGGCGACTTGATAAAAACTTCTACTTTCATTCTTTAATGAATGTGAAAGTAGTGAAAGAAAAGCGAATAACGTTATTCATTTTGTCTCATTTCGTAGTCAAACGTTAGCCATGTATTAGAAGAAAAGAAAAGACTCTACGTCTTACGAAATGTGTGAATGATAGTGGTTTCTTACGACCACCATCTTATCTCTAGCCTAGAATGATTAAATCTATCTTAAAATACACTTACTAATTCATCATGTAATTGCTCATTATTTTCTTTTAATGCATTCATTTTTATTTTTAAACGTTTTGCTTCGTGTGCTGGTAGTGAAGGTCCTGTTCCTCATCGTCCTCTTCCATTTTGATATGCTGATATTGCTGGTGATGAACCACTTCCTCTACTTCTTTCACGTTCTCCTTGATCTCTATCTGGTGATGAATGAGAACATGAATGACTCCACTTTTCACGACGTCGACGAGATGAGGATGATGTAGCATATTCAACTATCATATACTGGACAGTTGAACAATTACGACGATAATAAATAGGTTCGATAACTAATTTCCAACTATTCCAAACAAGACCGGATTTTGCCTTTGAAATCAAACAGAAAGACAGAAATGCGTATTTTAATACTATGGAAAACTCTAAATTTGTCCTGAATATTGCTTGCCTCTGCAAGCTAAGTCAGATCTGCTGGTTTAGTTTCTGTCAACGAAAGACTTTCTAGATTCGTAAAAGCGCACTGCTAAATATAAGTAGAATATGTATTATTTTCCACACGAACCTTATCGCAAGACTCAAAAGGTGAAGGTGTGGTACTTTGCGTATCCTACAAGTGTGAAAACCCAATTTTCATCTTCACACTGAGAATGATAAAAAAGATAACCGCTCTGCAGGTCAAAACTCAAGTGTATCAAAGTTTAGCGAATGCTGCAAAGCACCTTACAGTGAAAGTACTTGGATTAAGTAATGAGGACAGTACTAATGAACTTTTCCAAGTAAACTTACTTGTCAAGTACTTGACAAGTATAAACACTTGTCTGATATAATGCACGTAAATTTACTTCCAACCCTAGTGAAGCTTTTTTCTCAAGCATATGCCTCAAGATTTGTCTTCATGCACATGAATTTCTTACTCATGTAAAACGCTAGAGGCATGCGCTTGAGTTGCTTGAAGTATACGCATGAAGGGAGAAATACCTAAAACAATGTGCAGATCTCAAGAAACTCATGCATTGTCGATTTTCCGCTTTGTAAATAGCTCTAGCTTTGTTTTTTAAAGTTGATTATATCATGTTTTATTTGGACTTTTCTTCGAGAACATGGTACTATCAGTTTTTTAGTCTTTCTCGAACATCTGGTATAATCTTTACCATGCCATAATCTTTATCTACAAAGGAAGAAAAGTCATTTTCAATGGAACGCTCGTAGACAGCAATTTGGACTTTGTACTATTCACTCCATCCTGTATAATCTTCATGTTATCTTTTGTTACGCTGTTAAATATAATTTTTCGATAATCTGTAATTCTGTTTGTTCGAAAAAAATTTTCCTTTCAGATTGAATAAGTTTGCCTGCGTCGTATTTCTCACTTTTGGTTCGATATGTGACTGAAATTTGATCTCGAAATAAAAGTTGAGGTCTTTTAAGGTTCGCCTATGAGTTTTACCAATAAGGCAACATTTACCGTATGTCAAGAAAACATTCATGCTTAGACTTCCAGAGGAGCGTATCCGTAAATACTAGACACTAATATCAGTTCGTTGCTAGAGCCAATTTAGCATCCTGTGAATGAGGCAGTATAGCTTGGTATCCAATTCTCTATGCATCAAACAGAATCAAACTGATACTTGCTACATCCTGAAAGTCGCCAACAGCAAACCGATCTTACGCTGAGGAAACTCACAATTGTGATGATAAACATCAACCAGTTGATGCATGTCTCACTTTTAAATCAGTAAGAAAATGCAGGCTAAAACATGCAAAAAATGCTATTGAAAATCGTCTTCATCTTCGCGGTACGTTAAAAAAAGAAGAAATGGCTGTGCAGACAACGTGCATTATCCTCGTGCATAAAAAAAATTACTAAACGCTAAAAGTCTGTTAAACTGGAAGCGTAATACAAAAGTGAAAAGTCCATTGAAAACGGCTAAAAGAAAATATCCTTGAAAAGGAGGACACGCTGGGGGACAAATCTTTAAATTTGGGATTGTCCCCCTTGTAAGGGGATATCTGGCAATCCGGGTCATCGCTCACATAAAAAGTCTAAGGCTATTTTTAGCCTTCAAACACCCGAAAACCGGCCATATTCTTCCAAATCCATCGATGTCTGATTACATTGCTTCATCATTGATTTACACATCCAACTTATACTAGAATACGAAAAGCAACGTAATAATAAGATCTCGCAAGTCTATCGGGGACAGTTGATGTCGACAGATAAAGTGGAAACACCGAACAACGGTCGGTATGCTCATTTCGTTTCTACAAACATTTTTCTGTTGACCACAAATGGCCCTGATATAACTCGAGGTTTTGCCGGAGCAGCCCATATAGATATCAATGATGCCGAACAATCAGTTCTTTTTAAAATTTAAATTCGTAAAATACAAACGAAAAACGTTTATCCTGATATAAGAGATTTAAGTTCAGTGCATTATGAAGGCAAAATACTTTTTGGTGTTGATATTATATTTAATACACATGCTGATGAATTTATTAAAGCTGGGGTTCTCTTAGACTATGCTGCCACTGTGACAAAGGGATACATTTTGACAATGGACACAATTGATAGATACAAAACGATCAACCTCCGTTTTCACAGATTTGACTTTTCTAAGTATTTCATTGTATGTGAATTGTATTTTTTATTTGGAAAGACTTTGTACTAGACAGAAAAAAAAAGCCGCAAGTTTTTAAATTAAAATTGAAGACATAAATGATAAAGTGTTGACTTTTTCAAAGGAAACACTGTTGTTAAATCATTTAATTTGAAATCATCAAATTTAATTAAATTTTTTTGAATATCGATCGTTTTCGATTTGAGAGAAAATGCCACAAATTCCAGTTTGTCAAGTATTTTAACTAAAAATGCATTTCCATTGTCTAATAATGCCACTTGATTTATTTTAAGACGACAATCAACATCTAAACTTGCAACTGGTTTTGATATGTCACTGGTATGAAATACAGAAATATCTGTTTTAACTCTATTCATTCGGCTAACTTGATATCGTTGATACCAAATATATTTTGATTCTTCATGTTTAAGACAATCAAAATTGCCTAGTAAATCATCATCTTTAAACCATAGATGTTCCATATTATTTGATAGATTACAACAATAAGTTAATCGATCTGTACTCTGTTTATATTGATATAATAAATATTGATCACCTATGAATTTTGTATGTAATAAATTTGTTAATTTTAGTTTTTCATAATATTTTTCACTATTTTCAATTTTATAAACAGTTATAGATTTTGTCTTTTCATCATCTTTATATATAATTGCTAAATATTTTCCTTTTAATGATGATATTACTTCTGAAATTTGTTGATCATTTTTTAGTTCCAATTCTATATTTTTATTACTTTTTTCCGAAAATTTGTATATATTTATAATTTGATTTAATTTTGTTTTATATATAATTGTACATTCATTTAATGTATACCATTCAATATCAGTCCAGAATGGAATTATTATTTCAAAATTTAGTAAATTACAATCAAATAAAATCAATGAACACTCATTGTTTCCACTATTTACGATACTCATAACAATTTGATTTTGATTTATTTTTTTAAATATTCTTGATTCATCACAAGTTAATTGTTTTATAATTGTAAATTGATCAATATTTAATAAATAATAAATTTTTTCTGAATGACACAATAAAATTACAGTTTTATCATTTATAAAACACATTGGTTGTAAATCATTACGTGAAAAATCTTCTATTTCACATTTTCTTGTTATTTGATGTGTTGATATATCAAATAATATGAAAAGTTCTTTAAAATTTTCATCAAAAATATTATAAACGAAAGTATATCGTGATAATGTATTAAAATCATTATATAAAAATCGTATCATTCGTGAATTATTTGTATCAAATAAATTTACATTGTTCTCTTTCTGAGTTGAGTTATCAATAATCTGTGCAGCCTCTTTTAAATCCCATACATTCAATTTATTATCCCAAGTTGCACTTATTATAGTTGAATCATTTAAACCAGAACAACTATTCATTTGAGAACTATGTTCTAAAACAAAATTTGTTTGTCTATTTTCAATATCAAGAACATAAATATAATTGAAAGCATTACAAAAAATTATTCTATTATTTAGAGAACATCTCCACATTCTAATTGCTTTACTTATTGGAATTCTTATTTGTACTTCTAATGTTTCAAGATTACATAATAATATATTCCATTCCATATCTTTATCATCAAATAGTGATTTGAAAATACGTCTCATTGATATAGCTAATGTGAGATTTGGTAGTATTAAAAATCGACGTCCCATTACTGTTTCATCATTAAAATCATGAAATTTGTAATTTCCATTTTCATTTATTGACAAGACAATCGATTCAATATCAAGACCCATCACAATCCTATCATATGCTTTATCTATACATAACATTTTATCGGACTTTTGTGCAAACTCTTGTGGAATTTTGCTGACACATTGAACAACACCAGTTTGCCAATCAATATGGCACCAATTATTTTTTGTCACTAACCATAATTCATTCTTCAAATCACTAAATAAAATTTCACGATGTTTTGTTGGATCATCCTGCAAAATGTTTGAATCAACTTTAAATAAGTAATCACCTTTATTAAAATCATATGCTTCAATAATTGGTTCATTTTTTTGTTTTTCATTTGTTATTTTACACCATGCATATAAAATTTTATCATCTTTTGAAATTGTTAACATACTAGTTGAATCATATTTTTTATGAATAGTTATTTTTTCCATAAAATTATTTGCATAAAATACTTTAATACAATTATCTGATGAACAAGAAATTATATAACAATTATCATTACTAATTAATGTAGATTTTATTTCAGTTTTATGAGCAATTATACTTTTACTTAATAAATTATTTGGACCGGCCATAAAATTTTTATTTGAAATTATTGATTCTTGAGGAGGTGAAAGACATTGTTCAAGTAAATGTTCTAAATCAGAGTCAGTTTTATATCCATATAATCGACCAAATAATTGTCCAGGAAGTTCTGCTGGACATAGACGAATTTTATATGCAGCTATAAGCAGTGTTTGATGTACTAATTTTAATGTTTGATCTTGATTATGAATTGTAACTGCATATTCATAATCATTTATAAGTTGATCAACATCTGTTGTTTCAATTTTTATTTGCATAAATTTAAGATCAAGTAAAAAATTATTTTTTAAATCATTAATATTATTTGAACATGTTGCATGATATGGTAATTCTTTCATCCAAAATGGATTTAATTTATTAAATTTTTCATGTTGAAATGTTTTAACAATAATTTTATGACAATTTTGATTACTTTCAATATCTTGACAATATTTATCTTGTGCAACTTCCCAAAACATTCGATGATACCAACGATACATAGGCCCACTTAAATATTCTCTTAATGCATGAATTAATCGAATAAGAAATATTTGTGGCATTCTATTTAATAATTTATCATGTTTAAATTGTTCTCCAAGAAATTCAAATACATTTTCATCCTTTGCTAGTATATCTTGAAAATAATTTTCATAGAAACCATGACGACTCAATGTCATATATTGTAAAACTTTTTTTACAAATACTGTTCCATAGGATTTTTCTAATTTTTCAAGTAAAGCTTGTACAGCTGGTTTAACTTCATAACTAATAGAAATATCTTCTATTTTCGTTGAATGTTTCCATTCTATTGCTTGATCCATAATAAGTTTTATATAGAGTGGAGTACTACATGTTTTAAAAATATTGAGTAAAAATCTCATTTGTTCATCTGTTAGAGTTCTTTTAGCCATATCAAGTCTATATTTAATAATAGATGGTATTTCTTCTTCAGTTAAATCTAAAATTTCGATATAACTATTTTGAGTTTTAACTAAATTTTTTATTGCGGGAAATGCTTGATACTTGTTATCAGTCAAAGTAGAAATAATTAAATTTATATTTTTTGGTAAATTTGTTGGAAACCAATCAAGTTTTCTACCATCATATTCAGCTGATAGTTGATCTAATGAATCTAATAGAATAAATATACGTTCATTTCCACATTCTTTACTAACTTCCATCAAAAATATTTTAAAATAATTATATAATTTATCTATTGGTGACATTTCTTCATAATTAATAATTAAATTAAATCGATGTGCCAATTGTTTTATTATTGAAGATAATAAATTTTGTATGTTATACGAATCTTCAGATGTTCCAATGAATCGAAGAACGAGTACAAAATTTATGTTACTAAACCAGTCTTTCACTTTTTCTGCTACCTTTGCAATTAAACTGGTTTTTCCACTTCCTGAAATACCATGAATAACAATGTATTGACTATTATCATCGACTAATAATGATTTAATTTGATTTATGAATAAATTTCGTCCCGTAAAACCTTTCACTTTATCTTGACAAAATCGAATATGATGAAATAAATCGGCATAGTTTTCTAGCACATAAAATAATATTTGATTTCTATTTAAATTTGCTTCAACTAAATTAACTACTGTTTTTTCAAATGATTCTGAAAATTCGTCTAAATAATTTCGAAATTTTTCATCCATCATATCATTTTGTATTACATCAGGTTTATAATCAATTTCGACAGATAAATGTTTTACATTTCGTTTTTGTAATTTTCGTGCTAATCTCTCTTTTAAATTATTAATCATTTGTTGACTAGCCAAATCAATATTGTTCGTATCTCTATCCATATCAACATATTTCTTAAAAATGTGAATAGAACTGGGATCAACTGTTTCACTTTTCAATTGATCAAAATCATTTATTTTTCTCAGAAATACTAAACATCGGAAATTGTAATCTTTTGTATTGAATATACCCTCTTTGATTTCTAATTCTGTTACTGATCTTGTATATTTCATTAATGTATCTTCATCTAAATTAGCAGCTTGTGCCTTATTATACAAAAGATTAGAAACTAATTTGTAATCTGTGTTGTTCCATTGAGTTTTCAGTTCACCTTCTTCAACTGATTTTAGAATATATAATGGTGGTACATTATTTTTATCTACTTTATACCATTTATTCAGTAAATTTTTACCATTTTGATCACATTGTTCAAGTAAAATATTAAATTCATATTCCGGAATAGATCGTGGTGGAAATTTTGATCCATAACGATGAGATAATATAGCAATAAAAAATGGACCATTTGATAATTCTCTAGCTAATTTAACTTCATCTAAACAAATATCTGTTGTCAATTGTTCATTAGCAGCTGAATCAAATATTCCCCATCTCATATCAACTATTTGCAATATATAACCCTTACTGGAACAATATTTTTCAAGTTTTGGATAGATTACATGCATAATTTTATCTCTTTCATCGCTCATATCCTTAAATGTCGAACTTATAAACAATCTTATAATTCTATTCAAATTTGGAACTTTTTCATGAACATTACCAATTAAAACTGTATGTTTGAGTTTTTCAATGTCTCGTATATTATCGCTACATTGTTCATTGGATAAAAAATCCTCTTCCTTATTAATGTTGGAAATTTGTTGATTAAATAACGTTTGTGTACAATGTTCTGATACACGAGATTCAGTAATCTTTTGTTTAGTACAGTAGGATAGTTTCAATTGTCTGTTATTCAATGTTAATGTTGTCCCTTCTTCCATAGCAGCTGCTGCTTTAGCGGTATCAGCAAATGTGACAAGTGCATGTCTAAAAGAAATATGAATTAGATTACTATTCTTTCAGCATTTATCATCTGTTACTCACCCAGTTCTCATGTCACCTGGTGTTTTGGATTGCGGTGAAAAAATTTCAATCTTTGTTGACTTTGGAAATAACTGTTTTATAGCATTTTGTTCAGTATGCTCAGGTATTGGTTCGATATAGATACAATTCATTACAGGTTCTTTCTCTACAACGGTCGACAGAATACATTCAACTGACTTTCGCAACAAAAACTAATGTTGAGAAAAATGTTTCCTGTGAGACCCCAAGGAAAACGTTACTCTTCAGTCATAAGCCTCATTTATACTACACTAACGGATGACCAGCAGATTCTATGGTAAATGACCAGATAACTACCCAAGCAAAAGTACTCCAGCCCAGGACTCTAACCAGGCCAGGCCAGGCCAGGCTACAAATTGTCGGCCTGAGGCAGATCAGGCCTAGACTGAAATACATTCAAGCAGGTCTTTAAAAACACCAGGCGGTCTGGCCTATGAAATTTACGTATTTTTATTCAAAATTTAGCATTTCGGCTCACTAAATCCTGACACGGTTGAGGATATTTTGTTAATCACATCAGATCAGAAAATACTTGAACAAAAACCAAATTTTTTTACTTAGATATATTGTTTAGTTATCTGTCACTTTTCTTTTCATCTTATGTTACTATTATTTGTACATTTTATTAAAAAAATTATCAGGCTTCTACGGACCGGGCTAGGCTAGGCCGAGAGTAATGGCAGGCAGGAAAGGCCCAGGAGATATACCGACAGGTCCAGGCAGGTCTAAACATTACAGGCCTGATGCAGGCAGACCAGGCCTCAAAAGTGTTGACCTGTTTCGAGCTCTGCTCCAGCCGAATTATCTAGATGCTTTAGCTGGAGGATCGGTCGATATTTTTTACTCTTTTATCTAGATAATTTAGCTAGAGCATCGAGTTAGCTACCTGTATCGACCGGTGTATTACCCAATATATTTGAATGCATCGAGTTTTTCCCGATGAAAATGTCAATTCGTGGGCAATGCTATCTGGCTGCATCGAGAGAAACATTTATCTTCATCTAAATGTGTCGACCAGTAAATCGACCAACAAGATGTATTGGGCGATACTCGATGCTTTTTCTGTGCTTGGGTACGGAAGGAAAGAAATCATCATATAATTCTTGCCTCGTTATGCTCTACAACATCTGCAAAAGAACCATGCGATCTGAAAAATTTTACTCTCACCCTTTCTAACTTTCTCATAAATTTTCTTAAACCTTTCATCAGAAAATAATTAAAAACGGTGTTAGTACACAGATAGCAGTGGATTTAGATTTTGCAGTATACTGCAAAGCTAACTTCATGTATTCGAATTAGGTATGCACCGGTATCGATTTGCCAAATGCCGAAAATATCGACATTTTTTTACTGGGATGCTTTGACTTTTTTCATTTGAAACGAGATATTTTAGCATCTTGGATAGGCAGAATGCATAAAAAACGCTTAGTGTGTATTCTGTGCATATGCAGACAGAAAAAAAGAAAAATTTTGGGTTTAGAATGCAAACAAAACTCTTTTTTTGCGTCCCTGATTCTTTCCGGGTGTCCAGAACGCTAAAATATCTCTTTCAAATGAAAAAATCCAAAAAGATTCTAGTAACAAAAGTCGGTATTATCGGTCTAGATACCGATACCGTGCATACCTAGTTCGAATCTCTATTTGTGCACAAATTGAGTTTGGGTTTTTCGATAGTTCCAGTTTAGAATACTATAAGGGAATATTTTTCTGCCTGTATTCTGACAGAATAAAGCTTATTTCAACGATGTTAGTATCGTTGTGAGACGATAATACTAATTCTGTCGGAAAATCAAATCTACGAACATGAAATCAAGTTTTCAAGCAAGCTGATAGACAAAAAAGGTTTTCAAGAGACCTGCAAATCTAGACTCAGAATTCACCCACACCCTCTATCTACATAAACAAGCGCATTTCAAACAAAAATTATTTAAAACTCTTATTCATTTGTTTACCGGCATTGATCGTTGGTTTCGATGTTCTAGCAGACGTACGTTCTTCTTGTTGTTCTGACGTTTGCATCAAAATATTCTGCTCTTTATCTTCATGTGGCTGCAGACTATTATTACTCGGGATTAAATCAATTGGCAATAGAGTAATATTTTTTGCTTTGTTTGATTCTGTTCTGGCTGATGATATAGTCCCGTTTGTGGTTAAGGGTAATGATCTATAGAAGGTGGATAATACACTTTGGCCTGGATAAAAAGCAAGGCAACATAGACAACACCGAGTAAACAAGTTTTTTTGTGAAATGAGCCCTAATACAACCAAAATATCCGTGTCTACATACATAATTCTTCATTATTCTGAAAAACTGGAACTTAAAACTTCATATAGTATAACAAAAGAACAACATCTTTAAATCAAGCAACAATACCTCAATTCTGTTATTAACTAATACACTTACTCGGCGTTTTAGCTCGCTCAGGAATTCGAGAAAACTGTGTTAATTTTTCTGCACCGAAAAGCTAAAACAAAATAAAAGCAGCTGTACAAGGGTAGAAAACAGAACGACTGCTCTTGGAATAAGACCGCTGATGTTTTCACTTATTAAGCTTCCAATCAGACTAGATTACGTACCGCTGTGGTTTGTTTTTGCATTGATTCGAAGCGATTTTCTTGATTGGATGAGTGATGGCCTGACGACGCTCTCTTTTCCCAACGCGATTCCGTTCTCTCATCCTCTCGTTTTTCGGTATTCGATCGAGGACGTGCAACTAATTTTGGTAAAAAGCTTTGCGTTTCTTCAGGTAATAATCTGTCCGTGTGATTTCTAGTTTGACTGGTTTCTAAACGCAAAGTAGATCTGCTTCCCGAAAGCAAACCTGCTGAAGAAGGTCTAGAATCTTTTTCTGATTGATTTGACTGCGTTTGTCGTTCTATTTTCGGCAGTTGGTGCTTCGTGTTTGCCGCGTTCGGTTCTTGCTCTTCGTGCATTCCCAGCTAGTGTAGCTGAGATATAATGATAGATTGATTAGTCGTCTTTATTACTGCACTACCAGCGACTGAGACTTCGGTTAATTCTCTTGCTGCTTAATTTAAATAATAAATCTGGTCAATTTATATTTTTTTCTAAAGTAGAACCATGGGTTTTGGCTCAAAGTCACGTGGGAACCTCTCGAGGTGACAAATCGTTTTTCGACTCAAACTACTACACTCTAAAACAAAACGTGTTCTTCATGTTTTCAGAATTGAAGATCTCATTTAAGGACGTTGAAATTTGAAGAACTTAATTTCTATTTTTCAATAAAAATGAGTTTTTCACTCATTTTAATTTTTCAGAAATTTTGTTTTTCAACGTCTGGAAAACATAATATTTCATTTGAGATCTCTGAATATCTCGAAGTTGAAAAAGGAAAAGAAAATCGCATATTTCAGTCATCGCTTTTGTTTTGCGATTCCCAATATATATAAAGGACATGCTCTTTTCTTACAGAAGCTTAAACTTATTCGACCCGGGTCGAATAAGGTTCCAGATGACGGTAGAGTTAGGATGTTGACTACATAGTTTTCTCTACTTGTGCAGGTTTCCAGTTGACAATATTTATACTGAATAAAAGAATAATTCTACACATGATCACATATATCGTACTGGTTAAAAAAAGTTGGCTTGTGAAAAGACGAATTAAGATCCGAATTTTTGAAGAAGTCGAAGAATAGAAATGTGTTTTTTGACCTGATGTATTCTGAAAAATAAATAGGGATCTAAAAAACTTGATTTCTGTTCTTTCGGCAAATGAAAAAATCGATTTTGTAAATTTTCAGAAAACTCACATCAGGTCCCTATTTCGGACAAATGAAAAACACAGTTTCAGTTTTCTGAAGAAGTCCTCTTTTCTAGTGTGTATCATAAGATAGGTCCTAGTGAATAATGAAAAATCCCAAAAGGGTTCGGTTTCTGGGCCTCCCGTGTTGAGTTATGAATTGTTTTTCGTTTTGTTGAAAAAAAATGATATTGACAGTAAAAATTTGATTTGTCGGTCACGAGCTGCAGTAAACGCTCATATTTATACTGCGGCTACTAAACATAGCTTTAGTGCAAGTTTAAGCTTCACCACTTGCCACCTTCCAAAGATACCGATTTGTTTTATTTGTACGAGAAATAATGACGCCACATACACCACTACTCCTGTATTAAAGCTTCATGACCACGATATCAATGCTCTGTGCGCAGAAAAAAGAAAAACTACAAATAAAGCAAAATATGCGTCAATAATAAAGTACTTTTTGAAAAAGATAAGAAAAAGTAGGAACAAGAACATCAGTGATATGTTATCTCTTCTTCTCTCGGCGAACTACCTATTAATCATACGAGACTGTGTAAACCAAGACTAAAGAGTGACGAGGACTAAAAAGAATGGTGAATAAAAGGTATGGTGAATAAATGATGGTGTTGTTTAGTTAATTTCACAACCGCTTTGTAGTTACTAGAGACTCAGACAGAATTCATTTCTGAAAGAATCAAAAGAAGATACCACGACCGGTTTCGACCTTTCTCAAGGGTCTCGTCAGGTGGTTTCCATCGATAAAGACAGAGTTAATGCACGACAAGCAACACAACTCCGTCACACCGTATGAGTATGTTACTATTCCTCGTTCTTATCGAACAGCGAATCATAACTTTCACACGACGAGAACGAAGCACGATATCACTGTACAATGCACATGGTCTGCTTCTCTACAGTAAGTATTTCTTTTCATTCTATCAGAAATGATTCATCCTTTTAAACTCAAACCGTATCTAACGGGTGGTCCGAAAATAATGACACACTTTTGCAACTTATTTCTGTGCACTTAACTGGGGTTTTAAGACTCGATTCTCAGGCTCATTTGATAGAGAATTTTTTGCTCTACAAAATTTATTACCTTCTTTCATGCTATATTATTTTATTATCTAAAAAGATTGTGTAGAATAAGGACACGTAAAAACTATAACTGCGACGAATGGAACAGCTTGTATTTATTTTTGTATTCGACGTAATTGATTATTTAATAATGTTTCTGTCAGCTATTTGTCACAGGTACTATGCGTAAGGAGATAACCTTGATTTAATTAATTCACATTGAAAAATAATATTTTTCCTAACATTTAGCCACTAACAACAAATGGTCCTAAGATTATGGGGTTATTGATGGATGTATCAATTTTTTGTCTGTATATTGTATGTTTCCAAGAATTCGTTCTGACTTCAGAAGACAAAAGACTTTCTGTTCTACAAAACCCTTTATATCACACACTTACACAGTGTCATTTGATTAGTCCTTCTCCTGCATTTTTCAAAATCTCGCGTTGGCAGAAAGTACTAATTAACTTGTACACTAAAATATTTACAATTTAAGTGACGAAACGCAAAAGCAGCGTAGTCTGAATAATAGTCCGCAATCTGCTGAACATTTTTCTTTTCTCAGTTATCATATTATTTTCCGAAAATTCCACAAAAACCAAAAAGCTATCAAAATTTTCATAGTAAATCGCAGTTATAGTTTTTACGTGTCCTTACTCTACACAATCTTCATCCATCCTCTTAATAGTCATGCTCGTTCACAGTGGAGAAAGACACTGTCTTTTGTCTTTCTCTATTGTGTCAAAACTACGATCTCACTGTAATTTCGAATTAATTTCTGATTTATAGAAAATCGATCTCAAAAATCGCCGGGAATTTTCGTTATAAATTCCCTGTCGATTTTCTGGCTTTCTATAAATTTCTGATTTTCTATTTTCTATAAATTGAATTTTCATTTTATTCAGAAAATCGTCGTAGAATTTCCAAAAATATGAAAATTCGACGATGATTTTCTAATATTCTAGAAATTCGATCGATTTTCTATAAATAATTCTCAACATTCTTGAAATTCCACATCGAACTTCTAAAATGTTGGAAAATCGGCTTCGAATTTCAAGAATCTTGGGAATTATTTAAAGAAAATCGATTTCGAATTTCCAAATTTTGAAAATATCAGGTAGAATTTCAAGTTTCTTGTAAATTCGATTTTCTAGAATCTAGAAAATCCTCAGGGAATTTATACACTGGACTTTTTGAAAATCGCCGAGCATTTTCTATAAATAATTCCCAACATTACAGTGTAGTAAGAAGATGGGTGACCTCTTCCCAAGATCGAACCATAAGTATGGTGCTTTTCACATTTATCTCAACGATTGTTGAGTGAAAGTTACTAGATACAATTTAAGTTTAAAAGGATAAATCATTTCTGATAGAATGAAAAGAAATACTTACTGTAGAGAAGCAGACCATGTGCATTGTACAGTGATATCGTGCTTCGTTCTCGTCGTGTGAAAGTTATGATTCGCTGTTCGATAAGAACAAGGAATAGTAACATCCTCATACGGTGTGACGGAGTTGTGTTGCTTGTCGTGCATTAACTCTGTCTTTCTCGATTGAAGCCACCTGACAAGACCCTTGAGAAAGGTCGAAACCGGTCGTGGTATCTTCTTTTGATTCTTTCAGAAATGAATTCTGTCTGAGTCTCTAGTAACTACAAAGCGGTTGTAAAATTAACTAAANGCTTCTCTACAGTAAGTATTTCTTTTCATTCTATCAGAAATGATTTATCCTTTTAAACTTAAATTGTATCTAGTAACTACAAAGCGGTTGTAAAATCAACTAAATAAAACAGTCAGTCATTTGGATGATGTCTTAAAAGATTCTACCGTAGAGTGGATTTATCTGTGCTTTCATCAGTCGACGTTTTATTTTGTTCAATATCGAATAAATCATTTAGATCAAGACATTGTCGTAAATTTTGTTGTCTAAACAAGAGAAAAGTTGAAATTTTTCACATATCATTTATTAGTATCGTTTCGAAATGAACACGACTTTCCTATTTGCCTAAAAACATTAAAAAAATGTCATATATTTATATTTTTGAGTAGTGAAAGGTAATCCTCTGATAGTATATTATTGTGAATGAGAATTTTGACTACATTCTCATATCTAATTTTTAATTAGATTATTTAACAGTCTTTCGACTATTCTTAAATTGTTTCTTCAATATATTTTACCTACCCGGTTTGTTCCTGTTTAATTAGAAAACCGAGTAGAATAAAAATGGCAACGATAAGTATGATTAATAATGTCACTATAGCCAAAAAGACAAACTGTGATATTTTTTCATGAACTAAACGATAGACAGACACACGGTCACATAAATGAATGAGCAGACATGGTTTTCTTACGCTGAAATTGACTATATTTGATAAAATAATCGACTATTTGCTCTAATTTATGTAAATGTCCTTCAATGAATGCATAACTTGGTGGTGTACATTGTAGTAATACATCATTGTGACTATTAAATTTTATATCACTCAGTAAGAGTGAATGGTGAACATCAACGGTTATTTGTATAATAATAAATTGTCCGATTTTATCGTTCAACGATAATAATAATGTTGTTTCATCATGTTCGTTTATATTCATTGTATACACATTAGACCATATTTGTTCATTTTTTCTATAACGAACTATCTTTGAACTATCAAAAAAGCCAATATTCAATTTGTATGAACAAAACAATGATGAACTGTCAACATTCACATTATCATCATTGATACAACGTAATACAATTTCAGTTGATTGAAATCGACGTATACAATTAAAAGCAAATAGAAATATTTGAGAGTTAGTTGAAGCATTTCTAGGCCATTGTAAATATTTTAAAGGATCATTATCCGTTAACATTCCTAAACCACCTATATACAAAAAAGAAAATAAGAAATTTTGTTTAAAATAATGCAATAGAATAACACATTATAAACCTCTTAAACTTGTGTTCGAAATAATGCCATCATAGATGTAATCACGTTGAACAGATTGTGCCATTCTATAAGATATTAGACCACCATCGTATCTACATCCGTATAATTCAATTTTTAGACAAGGTGGTGGATTCTTTCGTGATAAAATAATTCGAATCTCACTAGCCACAATAAATGGTGTTAGACCCGTTTTATTTGATAATCTGTTGAAATTTAATACTTTTTTTTCCACAAACATCTAATAATGAGATATACATAGAGATTAAATTAAGATAATTTTTCTTATTAGAAACTACCTTTCGATTTCTTCGTTGACCGTAACCTAACCACGGTCCATCTTTTGTTCGACGATATTCAATTGTATATATGCCACTGTATTTTTTACCCTATAGAAAACCTTGTAAATATAAAACAAATAGAAAGACATTTTACTATATACTAACATAGGTTAAATATTTTTGTCCTTGTACAAAAATTGCACCGAGTATTGCCGGTGTAGGTAACTCTAATTGAACATATTCTTCGGTTTCTTCTTGTCTCAAAAATGCCTTTTGTGAACACCAACGTCGACATGTAGAAGATTTGTAACGTAGTTTTGAACTAAACTATAGAAATACACATAGAATAAATCTGTTTCACAAAATATCTTAATAATTAGACACTCTTACCGAGATCTATAGGGTAAACATGATGAACAATAGACAGTTGATTGTTTTCCATTCAACAAAATTTTTCTACTTTTTATATCAGAATTAATACAGGTATTAGTCACTAAAGAAAATTAAAAAAAATAAATAATTTTCTATTTTAAATTGATTTAGTACTACCTTGTCCTGCTACTTGATTATTTATTATTTCAAAAATGATAAGAGTGATAATTAAGTATAATTTAAGCATAATATAACTGGAATGTACCTTTCGAATAATTTGGAGTCTATAAAAGAAGAGAATGAAAATAAAAATATGACTATGTCTCTATAAACGACGAATGTTCAACAGAGAGATAATGAAATATATTTGAGAACGATATTATATTGAGAATATTGTTTCTGTATATTTTTAGAGAATAAAATTTTTTTTCAATTGATGAGAATACGGTTCAAAATAGAATGGAAAAAGTTCGGGTATATTCGTAGAGCGATGTCCTTGCTAAAGCATACGAAAAAAGATTAATCATGAAGTTCATCAGTATATTAGTCTTAAACACTAGTTTACTTGATCAAGAATGATGTTCAGAGGAACATATAGATACATAACATTATAATTATAAAGGATATTTTACGACTTAGTAACTTTCTTACCTTTCTATATGTGGAGAAACAGAGCACGAGTTATACATCAACTAACTATATCATTGTCCAAAAATATGAATATAAAAACTATTGTCAAGTATGTTGTGTGTATACTGTATTCAAAGTTAAACAAAAAATTATTTCCAAATGTATAACAGACAAATCATCATCACCACCATCACCAAATTGAAACAATCATCATCAATAATATTCAACCTTAAATTAATTGCTTGAGCATATAACCATACAGGGTCATACACTCTTATATAAAAGTAAAAAAAAAAAAAAAAAAAAATCGAAATATTTTTTTTCTTCTTTCATTTAAAAATGAAAATGCTCACAATTATGAAGGCAAGTAGCCGCAATATCATATAAATGTCATTTGTTTGTTTATCTTTAAAAAAATCATCTTCCGCAGGCTGATTCTTTTTTTATATGTTCAATTTATGTACAAACATTTATTCTTCATCGTTCTATCTCAATATTTTCCAGTTAAATAATCAATATTTTATTTTAACCTTTCTCGCACTAAAACGCAAATATACATCCATACTACCGCAGTAATTAGTTAAAGGGGGAAATAGGGTGTATAGACGAGACAACACGTAGGTACATATATCTATATATATATATATATATATGAATATGCAATAATTATTAGACATTTTAGCATGCATCAAACGATTTATTTCTAATAATTAGTTGACATGTGGTAAAGTTTTTATGAGTCTTTTAAGATGCACAGACAAACAAGGTGTATCGTATCAAGAAATAAAATGACGATTACAGACGATATTAAAAGAAATAGTAATTATTTTAATATGTTCTATATTATGCAGAACATATCTAATGAATAAACATGAAAATGAATTACAATTTTATATTTTTACTGACAAGTTCTTTAAAACAAAATGTCGAAAAGAATGACTCAAGATAGAGGGATGGATATTGATAAGTGAAATAGTCCTACATAATATTTGTGAATAAAAAAAAAAGATGGTACTTTTGACTTTTGAAATTTTTATTCTCTTGATAACATAAAAAGTGTCTTACCATCAACAAATTCTTTTAATATTACTTGTCTTATAATTTTGTTATTCAATTGAAGAAGAAAACAAAGTGTTCTTTGAGTTGTTCTTGAAATAATCGGACCACTTACTCAGAACATTGAAAAATTTTAACTCTTAATTGTAATTGAATTTGATCAACCTTCATGAAATGTTGAAGGAGACATCCGATACACCAGACAATAGATTATGCGCTTGACACAATAAATTTTTGAGAATAAAGTAAAAATAGAAACAACATACGGTTTAAATCCGATAATTTTTATATTTTGAAAGCTAAGTTAACGATATAAGCACAATGGCGCTCATTCATGAGATTATAACTTATATCTATACGCAGTCTTACGTATAATCTTTTTTATTTAGATTGAACAATGAAAATATGCTTTTTTCTCTCTCTCTTACCTAAAATACAAACGAAAAAAACAAGAAAAAAAACATAGTCGACCCTGGCAGGATTCGAACCTGCAATCTTCTGATCCGAAGTCAGACGCCTTATCCGTTAGGCCACAGGGCCATATAACCCTACAATCTGAATGTACTCCAGAGAATAAAAAATAATAAGGCTTAAAACTTTGTCTACAATTTCTATATTCTTTTCACACACACAAATGAGTGTTTTTCAGATGTATATAGCAAGTGATGTTTCTGTACGTTTTCAATAGGGACTAAAATCATTATAGCACCGAAACAACCTTCTGTTTTTTTCTTCTTCAAAGGACGGAGGACGATAAGAACCAAACTCGGCCCTTTTTTTAGTGCCCTGGAAACAATTTTCGCATGCAAAACTATTCTCTCATTAGATGACGTTTCCTCAGAGTATTTTCATTATTTCATTCCTTCCGCTTAGAGCTAGTCTCAACTTTTATATACCATTCGATAGAGAATTTCACGGGCTATAAATGTTATATAAAATGTTGAAAAGAAAATGTGGCTGGGTAGTCTAATATCAAAAATACTCGATAGCATCTCAGCAAACTGGTAGGTCAATATCGTTCATGTTTTATAATATCGATTTATTTTCTCGTTAACCACTCTACTTTATCGAACGATAAATAATAGTTATGACTTGCTCTAAGCATAAGGAATGAAATAATGAAAATACTCTGAGGAAGGGTCTATAGACTAATGTTAAAAATCAATTAAATATTTTTCCACCTTATTTAAATATCAGTCCGTTGAATATTTTTCTTTATTTAAATATTTTTCCTTTATTATAAAATAATTAAATAATTTTCTATCCTATGCGAAAAACTTAAAAATATTTTTTGATTCCCGTTTATCTCATTGTGAATGAAGGAACTGATGTCGCAATTTAAACCTACCACGGAGGTACGAATATGCGGAACCTGACTTTTTCAACCTTATTTAAATATTTTGCTATCTTAGGCGAAAAACTTTATTATTTTTCTACTCTATGCGAAAAACTTTAATATTTTTTTATCTCACAACAAGAAAAATATTTATTAGTCCAGATAGAAGAATATTTAAATAAGATAGAAAAATATTTAATTGACTTTTAATGTTAGTCGTTTAATATTTTTCTTTTTAACATTTTTCGGTATATCCCTGAGGAAACGTCATCTAATGAGAGAATAGTTTTGCATGTGAAAATTGTTCCCAGAGCACTGAAAAGGATGTTTTAAGATCTAAAAATATGTTCGATGTAATCGCGGACAAAAACTATATAAGATTCGTTAATATAAGACTTGTATGTGAGGGAATCGATTTTGGCTCTTATCGTCCCCCGTCATTTTAATAGAATAGTTCCATGGAGCTTCGCGCAGTATTGCATGATCTGAGAGTAGGAAAAATCTAGTAATGATACCACTAAGCAAAACTTTCCATTTGTCTTGTACAAAAGTTATGTGAAACATGCTCGATTCACGCTCACCAATTGCAGATGAGAACGTTTTAGGGAACGTCAATCAGCAATTTTGACCTTAACTTAAACGTTTAACTACTCTCATACCGATAACTTAAAAAAGTGTGCTCGATTGTATATTTTCATTGAAAAATTAGATTGTCTCATCTGACATCTGGAAAAACATTTTGACTGTGATGTCTTACCTGCTTAGAAGAAACTTTGGAGCGACTGTAACGAACTCAGAATCCAATTAAATATACCATTAACTTCATCAAATGAGCGCGATTCCAAGCTCGTTGATGTAAGACACATTCATCCCATACTTTTTATGTCTTCATGTTAGGCTTTGCTGATAGGTCTATTTTGTTTTACAAAAATTGCACACGTTTCTAATTCGCTTCATCCAAAACTGCACGTGAACATTTTGAGATATTTTTGAAAAAGATAATCTTAATATTTATTTTGAATTTTAAGAAAAATGGACATGAATTCATCATGTGGTAAGGTAACTACTTTATTTATATGGACTTTTTCACAAGGGGAAACAGCAGAATTCCAAGCAGTTGTGGACTCCCAGACTTACTGAAGCTCCCTATACAAACTTCCCAAAGTTCGAGAAAACGGAAGAATCCCTGGAAGTACAAGAAAAAATCGAAAAAGGAATTAGAATCCGATGCAATCCCGAAAATCTGTAAAAATGATTGAAAATGGGGCTAAGCGAAAAAAATACGGGAAAATTCAAAAACAGTCAGGAAAATTCTTCGGGCTCAGCGAAGTCACGAAGAATACCAAGGAGTCTCCAGGAGTATAACAAAAGTTGAAAAAAATTGATTGCCTGTGGAACGAAGCCCAGATTACAAAAGTCACAAAGTCAGCTTTTGACAAAGCTTGTTCACCATTAATAGCTGATATTTTAGTGACATACACCCAGAAAGTGTCAGTTGAGAAGAACATGTCTTTAAACAAAGAATTTCTAATAAAAAGTGTAGTCATCATTTATTATCATGAATGTTTTGATGAAAGTGTATCCCATTTTTATTCAAATAAAATCCATTCTATGTGGAAAAATTTTTAATTTTCTTTATTGCTCAATTTTGGTATCAATTGAATATGTACTACGAAAATGTAATACTAATCAAAGTTCTTTTGTACTAAAGCGCCAATATGATTGAAAATTGAATGTTTTGTTTGAAAATTCGTTTAAGTAATTATAGTTTTACTGTTAAGTTATCTTTGATTTTGTATAAACAATAATAAACTATTAATTTCTACTATGTATCATCTTTGGCTGACTAAAACAATCTCATGCTCTTATTTATACTAATATTGAAAGATCATTATTGGTAACAGCGATGAGTGTCAACCGATGGTAAGAAAAATGTTTATCTTTTAGGATTGTTTAAAACATAATATATATATATATGAGAGAATATGTTTGATATTAACAATGTTAATGTATTTCAATGAATATTTGTCTAGAAAGAATTGAACTTATTCGATATATGCAGTCGTCAGACTCTTCTTTACGTTATAGGGCGGTTGTTGCTCTGGTAATCACGAAGAAGATACATTACGAATTGCTTTATTTGGTTTAGAAAATTCTGGTAAAACAACATTAATAGAGTGCTTAAAAACATCAAAAAAAGTAAAAGAAGTAAAAAATAAAATATCAACGCATGGTGTTGTAGCTCAAAATTTATACTTACAACAAAAACATTTACTTCTTTTTGATTGCGGAGGTTGTAAGCATCAACGTCATATTTGGCCACATTTACTCAATAATTCAGATATCATCATGTTCACTGTGGATTCAACTGATCAAGCCTGTCTACAAGATGCTAAAGATGCTCTATTCGATTTACTCATACATGAAAGTCTAAGCGGTACGGTTTGAAACTAATCCTCTCACAGAAGGCTACTAAGAAAAATGTTGTACAAAATTCTCATTCATCGACTATTGGTAGAGAGAAGAAATTATATATTTTCTATCCTATTTGAAAAATATCTACTGATTCTACTGGATATTTATTTTTTAGGTAAACCTCTATTGATAATTTGTACTAAAACCGATAAACCGAATAAATTAAAAACGGTTACAATTGAAAATCATCTCAATTTATGGATGATCGTTGATCGCCCAGTGCACAAAGTAAATTTTTCTTCTGTGACACTCGATGATTTAACATTAATAACATCATGGATCGTTTACTATTCCAATCGTAAACAAAAAGGAAAATTAATGAATTTAACAAGTAGTATTATCTCACCTAATAGTAGTCTTCCTCTCTCTTTGATTCCAACACCCGCTCCCTCTGCTGCCACAATGTCATTGCTCTCAGCCGAAACAGCATCTGGCGCCGCGTCAACAGCCATCTCTTCTTCCACAACACGTTTATTCGTTCATTCTGTACCATTAAAAAAATCAAGAATGAATTTAAAATTTGTGAAAAAAAACCTGGTTATATAAACTCAACGTATTATGAATAGCATTTTACACTGCATTTTGTTCAGAAAAAGAATATTCAAATGTTTGAGAGAACTATATGTACTATATCTCTCATATAATTGTTTTTCTTTTTATGCAATTACAAATCGTCCCGTTCACTTTTATGGATATAAAAAATTTTCTTCATTGTACAGCACATTTCTTATACAGATATGCAAACTTTTTCAGACAGAAAGCATATCTGACACAATTCTAAGAAAATAATTATCAAAAACTTTAACATAAATATCTCACTTTTATTTCTGGTTGAAATAGTGACTTTGATATACAAATTATTTTAAACAACGTACGCTGATGTAGGCAGAGTGGTTCATATCTTCCATAGAATTTCCTCCAAAAGTTCAAGAGTAGACCTATCCTAATGAATGTACTTGACGATAGGTTTGTATTTTTCTTAGGTATCACAATTTAGCTACATGAATGTCATAGCTGCTTGAATTTTGTTCAAGTAAATTTAAATGTTATTGGATAAGTATCCGATTACTTGTGCTGGACCAGATAGGTACCAGATTTTTTTGTGTTCACTGGTTTGTTTCGCGTTCAGGCATATATAAAAGAAAAACATATGTTTGCAAGAATGACGTGCGCTTTTATCTTCACACGATCACCTAAAATGGCTAGCCGTTTAAATATCTGCTAAGTAGTATTTTACTTGCAAACACCTATGATATTCTTGCAGCAGGACACCTAACGTAGGTACCTATGTTTAAGTACATTCACAAGCGTAATTGATACATATTTTTTTCCTAAAGATGGCTTATGCAAATTCATAAATATCACTTGAATTTTTAAGTTCCCAAGCGTACGATAATATGGTGTATAATATATCATTCTTGCCCATGGAATGCTTACTTCGTTGGCAACTTTTCGTTAAAAGAAAAAACCCATGTTATTTACTTAAAATAAATGAATTAATAAAATGCGGTGTAACTTGAAAATAATTCTGCTTGTTCTCAGTTTCAAGTGTTCCTTTCCTATGCAACAGCATTAATTTCTTTCTCGTCTCTAACTTTCGATTCTTAAATCTCTCTCAACTATCTTAAATCTCAGAGTGTTTCTCATTGTTATTTACCTAATTGATTATAATTTAGTAAATTTATTAGAGATAATTTAATTTATCCTCTTTTCTAAAAAAGAAGAAATAATAAGTAAGACCTTTCCTTGGGTACAAAGTTATTAAATTCCTTAATAGTCTCCGCAGGTAGGTATCTTCACTCAGCTATAATGAGGCTGATTATACGCCTAGAATAAATCACAGTGTATGTAGAGCCATGGCCCGGACTCGCGATTACCCTCACTAGTTTAGGACAGACCCTTGACTTAATGAGGGATCGAATCTCCAGAAAAAAGTCAAACTAGGGATCAGTACAGGTAATCGTAGGAGCCCTATGATCAACCACTGGTTAGCCTTATCTTTACTTCTGGGGAATGGGTAATCCGGGTTAATCTCCAAGCAGGTAGCCTATTTGCCTCATCATATAACGAGATTAAAATTAATAAAGAAAGAAATTTATAATTTAAAACTTTTATCTGATGAATTTGTATTACTAAAAAATGAAAATAGGTACACCAAATATAATATAACTTTTCCCATCTGATTTTTGATAATGCTTAAGAGGAGAAGAAAAGTGATATGGATTAGTAAACGGTGCGATATACATGCATAACATTTACAAGCCATACTACTCATTCAGGAAACTGAACAAGAAAAAGTTGTTGTAATATCATAAAATATCATATAATTTTTGTTCATTTTTCTCATAATATTTATTTACACTATGCTATACGTTTCAGAGTCCAATCAGATTTTTTTTTCAGTACGATAACAGAAAAAGGAGTTGGATCGAACTGTGAAACGTATAACATATTGTAAATAAATATTACGAGAAAAACGACCAAAAATTATATACCTTGTGATATTAGAAAAATTATTCACTGAGTCGTATCAAACTAATTCTCACACAATTGTCTAGATTGTTGGTCTAAAAAACAGAAAATTGATGAAAATACTTTGATAATGATACAAAAAAAAATTTAAAAAATATAGAAATCTTTCTCATTTTATGAGAATTTTTATACAAAGATCCACAGACAGTATAAAAATATTTATTGTCTTATATAATACTTTGCAAAACGTCAGATAACTCTTAATGTTGGATGTAGCTGATCTTGTGCTTGATCGAATTCATCGTCCATATCTTCATCAACAAGTGAATAATGACTGGTAGTCGATGCATAAGGCGGTGACTGCACGCCTCGTCCTCCGCTAACTGCCTGTCCACTACTTGGTGCTGTCATATTATTGTTCGTCGTATTACTAATTGTCGGTGGAATTATATTTCGTTTTCTTCTTCTTAAGCAACACAATGAACAATTGTCTAATATCAATTCCAACCAATGTGGATTAGTAACAGAAATAATCAACAGTTGTACAAGAAAAAAACTTGAACGAAAAATTTGTGATATAATAAATCTTTTATATGTTTGATTAACATTAACTAAATAATATAAATAAATATCAAAAAGAACAATTGTAAACAAGAGTGATGTCGCTCTAATTGTCCACAGCTTTTGTATATTTTGAATTTGATTTGTTCCTCTCAATATATAGAAATAATACAGTACAAAACCCAGAAGAACTATTGTTGGTACAAATATAATAAAATAGAAAATTGAACGTACACGTTGTACCATTTCTAATTTTTGATAATTATATGTACAGTAATTCTGTGTTTCTTTGATAAATGGTAATGATTTTATTGAATCACGAGTTACAAAAGGATTAGCCAAGGCGAATATCATCAATGTAAGTAGCCATGTGAACAGAGCGTAAACGTGTAATGCTTGAATACTCGTTAATTTTGAACATTTTTGTTTCAAATGAGGATAAGCGTACAAAAATCGATCAAGTACCATGTAAATAACAAACAATATTGGAACCTAAAGTAGGAAAAAAATGTCGATAGATTTTCACATTGAAAAGGTACAATGACGCTTACATGATCAAAGACACAGAAAAGGATCACAAGCAGAGGAAAGACTAAGAAATGTTTTAGAAATTAGGAATAAGTTTATGACAGTGTTTTTCTTTTGTTTACTCGACAATTTTTTAAAATGGAAGTAAATGCGTGCCGTGTCCATGTATATGACGAGTGGAATTACCAGGTAAGGGTAAAATTTTCATTACTGACTTACGAAGGAACGTCTCGAGGTGATAAAACGCTTTTTGCTCGGAATCTAGTGGGTTATAGGCTATCGAGTATACTGGCTCTTAGCCCTTCAACGGCCTGGTTTTCTAGAAAATCATTTTTTCAGAAACTCTGAAATATAACTAGAACCTTTCTTAATAAGAATCGCAAATTTCTGATTAAAATGAGACATCCGCCAGCTTTACACAACTTTTCTTTGCAAAGTTATAGAATTTACAAGAAAGCCCTAAGTGTTTATTGTCTAATCAAAGCTACAGAAATAAGACGGTAAAAATTAATTTAGAGCTTTTCTTGTAAATTCTATAACTGTGCAAAGAAAAGTCGTGTAAAGTTGGGGATGTCTCATTTTAATCAGAAATTTGCGGGCCTCATTAAGAAAGATTCTTCAATTAAGATGACAAACTGTTGTTTATTCGCGGGTATTCACTAGAGAATAACATAACTGCTGACATTTCTATCTGGCAGCCCACTTTGCACTAGGAAAAATCCTGTTCAAGTACTGCTAATGACCGTCCTTTTACTGTACGTGTAGAGTATAAGAGAAATAATTCAGCCATGTGCAATCATATACATAGAGCCGATTAAAGAAATCGAATGCAGGTAACTACAAAGAAGAAATCCTGCGAACAAGTCCTTTAAGAAAATGAAAAACAGAAAAGAGATTTGTGATCTGAGGAAGAAATATTCCAAATAGAAGTCTGAGAAAACGAAACAATCAGTTTTGCAAACTCGTGTTAGATCCCTATTTCGGACAGATGGACAACAATTTTTGTCTAGTGAAGAACCCGTTAGTTATTTCCAGTATAATTATTTTTTCTTTCTCCTGAAAAAGTAGGATTGTAATGGGATTCAAGCATATCCACTGTAGTGGTATTTTTACAAAATATTTTGTATTGGTACAACATTAGCTATAGTTAGTAAATGCTTAGAGAGGATACTTTCAACGGTAATTTTTACATACAGTTTCATTTGTTGATAATAAAACATAATGAAATCGACAAAATTTTAACGTCGATTTTTGAAGCCAATGATGAATAAGTAGAATGAATGCCGGTATCCATGCAATAAAGCAGCATAAGAAAATTTGTAATGAAAAATAATCAACTGTATTTAAATAAGCTCGAGTACGATAAAAATGAATTGTTAATGGAATGCATAGTAAATAGGTTAACACAGAAAATGTCCAAATAATAAGATGAACATGAAAAGCTGAAAATCGTTCTGGTTCAAGTAAATCACCGACTTGATAATTATACGATGTTTTATTTAAGAACTCAGTAATATTATCAAATAAACTGGTATTATACATCAGTGTTGTACGATTTAGTGTTGCATCGTACAGAAAATACAGTAGATCTATAAAAGATAAAATCTGTTATTGATGAATGTATGTATTGGATATTTTTCTCCGCTGAAGCGAGTATGCATGAAAAGTCTTGTCAAGGGAATAATTTCTACTTAATAAATCTAGCATATGATAAGGAGAAAAAGATGAAATCTATACACCTTTCTGCAGTTGTTTCTTTATTTCGAAAACAACAAACGCACTTAGGAAAAATAGAAAATTTCAATAAGAATATGATACCTTCTTTCATCACAAAGGATGATAGGAATGAAAAACGCTCTGAAAAATAATTAGATTAACAAATATGATCAATTGCAGAAGATAAATGACGCTGATAAAAAGATCTTCCCATATGTCACCGTCAATACTCGAAAAGAGCTGTATAAAATACTAATCATCAACAAAGCGATGAAAAAAACGGAAATTGAATTTCTTTGACAGAGTAGAGTCCTAGTTCATTGGTTACGATGGCCATATACGGTGAATTTACGATCATGTACTGTAACGTAACACGCCGTAAATGGCCGTAACTTGACCGTAATCCTATGCTCCGTAACACTGCAGTGGTAAACAACCTTTTACGAGACCGTTTACGGCCATAATGGATCCATATACGCTCGTTTACGGCGGCATTATTACGGAGCATAGGATTGCAGCGTTGTAAATCGATTTTACTGGCTGTTTACGGATCGTGTTGAATCATCTGCGGTTGTTTTTTTCATCTGTTGTAGGAACAAGATCTCATTTTACTATTAAATTACTCGCCGGATGCCTTTCACCAAAAATAACGCTAAAGTAAGGCACATTCTACACAATATCCTTTTGTGCAGGTCCCATACCTGTTTATTTTAGCATATCACCGACAGCAAAAAAAAGTTCATTTAGAGTCGTGAAAAAGTGCTTTTTCATATTCAGCATACTCGACAATCCAGTAGATTTTTGGCGAGAAGTATTATCGAAAGTTTAGGAAAATTTTTCAAACAAAATGGCGAAAAAAAAATTTTCTTGAACTTTTGACAATATCTCTCTCCAGAAATGGAAACTCTACTGGCTTATCAAGTATGCTGAATACAAAAAAGCACTTTTTTACGACTCTAAATGAACTTAATTTTTTTCTTAACGTTAATATGCTATTTAATTCAATCACATGAATAATTGTGCAATGATTTTTTTCTTTAATAATAAGATAATGACACGTGTAGTATTACTAGAAATCTATGTGTTTCTTTTCCTGTAAAAAGGTTCATTTGTCACTAGTAGATAAGAAGAAAGAAAATTCTTTATGCAACTGTCACTATATTTAATATGTAGCATACGTCGTACAAGAAAAAAAGAGTATTCCATACGCGAAAAAAAGCACACACAGTTTATGTCACACTTATTTGTTTTATAACTTTTCTTCTCAGCTATTTCTCGTAAAAAACTCTCAGGAGAAGGAAAAACTAAGATGAAAGAATTGTGAACACAGACACACACACAAATCTACAATGAGCCTATTACTTGTAACGTTGGATGTATGTGTGTTCTGACTACAGCTTGTTCTATGACTGATGACTTTTTTCTCTTTTCGTTATGTATGATGTATAATATTGTACTGTTGTATGGAATATTTACTCTTTGCTGTTGTTGTTTTTTAACTACATAAAAAAAAAGACTTTTTCAACGTGAACTTTTCAATAAAATCACATGAAGAAAGTTAAGACTTGAGTTCTTTCTTGCTTTCACATGGTTGATTGATTTTGTTCTATATAAGGGAACAGAAACACAAAAGAAAAAATTATAATTGTATTTGCATTATAGATGAAGGACATTTTAATAGCTTCACATAATTTCATAAAGATGATAAAAGACATATGTGTAACATGTACACAATTAAATAAAAAGAAAGACAATCTGTTTACATGATCGAATTCCATCTTTATATTAAAGATTGATAAATAGACTCTTGTGTAAATCCTAATCTAATCAATATGTTGAGTAGAGAACAAGCGAAATATATTATTGTTTGAAACTAGAACTTTAGGATGACAACTTTATTTAGATTAGATCAAAAGTTTTAAAATAAATTGCATTCTAAATTAATCTAAAAATAAATACCACTTTATGATTTAAAAGAATAATAATGCATTTTGATCATTCAATTTTTATTTAATACTCAAAGATAATATAATATTAATTCAAAAAAATAAATGTTCATACTATTTTCACTATATAATTCTACACTACTTTCAATTTATTCTTTTTTTTTTTCAATTGTTTATTATCTAATGAACACAGTTCAATTGATGATGTAAATATTTTAACACTGGGCATGTCCAATTGTATATTATCAATAGTACTTATTCCACGATCAGGATCATAGACTCTTAACTGTAATAATAAATCAACACATTGTGAACTATCTTGTGAATTAGCTCGTGCATAATCGAGAACAGAATAACCATGGTTATCACACATATTGATATTTAGTGGATGTATAGATGAAAGTAAAATATGAAACATCTTTATATTATCTTTATAGGCAGCGTAATGTAAAGATGAACGACCTTCAGTATCAGTAGCATTTGGATCGGTGCCAACACGAATTAATAATTCAACAATCGTTGTATGATTTAAACAAACAGCTAATGATAGTGATGGAATACGATTTTGATATGGAAGCTTTATATTACTACCACGTTGTAAAAGAAGAGTGAGCGCACCTAAATATTAACACATAATTAAATGAAAAAATGTTTCACTCTTATAATGAAATAACAACATACCTGGATGGTTGTGAATAATCGCCTCGTGTATTGGTGTTGTTCCATCTTTACTAAATCGATTTACATCAGGGTTACACATTAATAACGTTTGGAGTGTTTCATCATTTCCCACAATGGCAGCATAATGTAATGGTGAACGTCCTGATGCATCAAATACATCAACGGAGTGCATATACTCATATAATGTGTAAATAATGGCAGCATTACCTACAAAAAAAAAAAATTTAGAGTAGTTCTATCAAAGATGTGGCAATCAACGGTTTGAGCTATTAAAAAAAGAAAAAGAAATAATCCTTAACTTCTATAGCCGCAAAATGCAAAGCTGATCGTTGTTGATGATCATTTTCTGAATCAAGTTGTAATAATTGAGCTGCCGAATTTTTTTTCGCTGTATTTCGTTTACTCAATTGTCGAGTTAATTTACTTAAATTTTTCGAACGAATATATTTTAATGTTTTTTTTGAACATGTCGATTGTTTAGAACCCATTTTTACTCCCGAATATGCCTGTCTGTCATCAGAAAAATTGTTTTCTCTCCTACTTAAATAAATATTCGTAGTTGAGGTACCAGATGTGTAAAATAGTATTTCTTATTTTCTATTACTTTTTGAATTTTATTCATCGAGAATTTATATATAGCTATTTAACATCGTAGAGCGACCATATGAAAATGAATCATAGAGATTTAAGACATAAATACTATCATTTCTCAGAGCATTCATTGTAGTAGTTGTATAATTTAAAAATTTCCAGTATAAATTGCCACGAAAATGTAAAAAAATTTGATGTTAAAAAAATCTTATCTTATTTCTTTCTTTTCTATAGTACGAAAAGTCATTAATCAATCAATTAATTTCACTTTATGCTAGGAGCTCACAAAAATTGTACAATGAAGCAATTTTGAAAAGAGTCGAGGCTCAGCACCATCTGCAATACTCTGAGTAAAAAACAGAGCTAGAAAGGACAAATAAATCAACACACAATAAGAAAGAATCAGGCATATGTGTACGACAAAAAAAACAAGAGTAGTGAAAGATACCACTCCCAGTGCTAACGATGATAAAAAGAGGAATGAAAATGAAAAGAAAAGATCGTGCACTGCTACTATTCACTGATGGTTGTTAGAAACAACGTTAACGGTATTTGATATGTTTCTGGAGTACTTTTTTAAAAGTGCTATGACTAGTTTGATTTTGCTAGTATGCAGGGCAAATCAGTCCATTCTTTCGATGTTCTAGATCGAAACAGTGATGGTTTCGATCTTAATGTGTAGGACGGGAAAAAAATATGTATGTTATGTCATGCTGCAAGATGCATCCGAAGCCGTAATAAGATCTTAAAGAGGTGTGTTGTTGTTGTTGTAGACAGGTACTACTGGCATGCGTCATCACATACATGAATATAAAATGTAAAGATTTTCGAATTTTTTTTATCAATGATAGCAAAGTTTTGCTTTCATCATCAATTGCAACAATCGAAGATAATTCTGAAAATATTTGAAATATTTCTTAATAATGACTCAAAATTATTCACTGTAGATAAGTATTTAATACGAAGTTAAAAATCGTCGTACATATTGTTGCAGTATTTAAAACATCGTATAGCTATCTATCATCGGATTACGATGAACAGAACTGATGTATATAATAATATTGAATGATTAAATCACAGCTCAGATGATTTTATGCAAACAATCTTTTTCTTCAGAAAGTCATTATATTTCTCCTCTTTTTCTATACTAGACACAGAACAGAATTTGCAGATATGATATTCAGTAGGGAAACAGTTGTCACATAGAAAAGAATAACAAATAGATGACGATAGCGGATGCATCAAAAACATAGACTCGAATCTGAATCATCATCATATGCGAAATCAGAGTATGATAGAACGAAAAAAGATTGAATTTAATAGTTTTCTGCTTTATATTAACATAATAAATGTTGACTGACATTGTTGTTGTTCATAATACGAATATGAATAATTTGTTATGTTTATATTGATTCATAACTGTTGTTGAATGAGTGAGGGATAGGGGAGTTACAGAACTCTATATTGATAAAATATTCAAGATTAGCAGAAAGAATTCAAGAATTAGCATCGAGTTTTCTTTCAATCTCTGAAATTTCAAAAATTCAAAATTAGCAGAAAGAATTCAAAAACAAACATCAAGTTTTTTCTTAATTCAAGAATTCAGAAATTAAAAATGTGACTTTTTATCAATTTCTTGAATTCGAAAAGGTCAAAATTATTTGAATTTGTATCGAGTTGGTTTGAACAATTCTTGAAATTCAAGTATTCAGGAATTAAAAGAACACATGAGTTTTTAATCCCAAAAAGTTAGAAATCCACTAATTAGGTGGATCAAGATGGGCTTCTTCAAGTTTTGCCAGTTCCACAACAAACATAGTTATTTCTCATCTTAATTTTTTTTAGGATTTCTACCAATCATTAATCAACCGACCCGGGTGTGTAGGATTGCCCAACTCTCGCGGAATTTTAATAATTACAGTTCTGTTTAGACGAACCAGTTCCGGAATTCCAGTAAAAGATCTAAAAACTCCTTGCATTACAAACTACAGCGAAGTGAAGGTCAAAGAAATTTTTTCCTGAATATTCATTTAGATTTTTTTTCTAACGGAATTACGAATCGGAATTTCCACTTTTACAGCGGAATTGCAGCAGTAAAAAAATTCTTGTTATGCGCTCAGTCTAAATTTTCTTACCGAACTCACAATTGCAGAATTCCAGATTGGTTCCGCTATATAATCAAGATTATCCAGAGATCTGAATTTCTGATTGTTCGAATTAAGAAAAAGCTTAATGTTTATTTTTGAATTCTTTCTGCTAATTCTGAATTTTTGAAATTTTAGGAAATTCAAAAAAAGCTCGATGCAATTCTTGAATTCTTTCTACTAATCTTGAAGTTTTTATCTATATAGAGTTTTATGAAGTGTTTTCGTTTGGACAAGACAATTTCTTCTTCTCTTTTGTCAATTATTTTCTTTAGAAAAAAAGTTTCCATTTAAAAGTTTTAGAAGACAATTTTTCTTGAAAATAAAACAAAACGAAAAAATTATACTCAATATTACTTTTCCATTTAATTATAACGTGTATGAGTATCTCAAAAATATAAAAAGAAAAAAATAGATCTTTTTTTATTATAAGAAAACATCCTTACTTTTCCGACTTTTTTTCTTGAACATCATTAACTATGTAAGTCTGTGTGTGTGTGCTTTTTAAACTTTATAATAGCTAATGAGAAGAAAAACAAAACTAAATCGATAAAAGAAGCAAAAATGCATTATTTGCTTGGTTCTGTTAGTTGAGAAAAATACAACTATCCATCTTTACTAAATTTCATCTTCTTTTCTCATTTTTTTTCTTTTTTAAGTTTAGTTTTAATTTTCTTGTTTTTTATAAAAAAAAATGTTTCTATCAAATATGATTCCATCTTCAGTGAGGACATGTAACAATAAACAATTATGTAATCCTCGATAAATTGTTCGGTATGTCTATGGTAAGTATTTCGAAGTTTAGCAATCCCTGCAAATTCTTTCAAATGTTCTAAAATTAGATAATAAAACTTTCTTTTCAAGATTACCACCTTGTTGTTGTCGTTATCTTTGATCACAATTATCTGTGGTAGTGAGTATTTTATTTTTTACACTAAACTTCAAAATGACTGTAAAAATGTTTCCTCTCTCTCTGTCTCTCTTTAGCATGTCCACCAACATACAATGATATTCTTAATGGTTGTTATAAAGTAAATAATGCTTCGAATATAACATGGAGTAGTGCACGCAATATTTGTACGAATGATTCAAATTCATTAGTAACAGCTAATTTTACTGGTTTAACACATTTGTTATCGTTAGAATCAGATACCGAATCAACATCGATAATGTACTGGCTCAGCGGTATTTACTCCTATAGTGTATTGATATGTACGTATTTATATCTTTATTTATATGTTTAAAAAAAACTAGCTTGGAACATTTATGGCTCATTTTGGATCGACGGTGTTGTATCAACTCAAACATGGACGTGGAGTAATCAAAAAATAACTTGGTATTTTGATTTATCGGAGCAAACTTTTAGTGGGAATGGCAGCAATTACAAAATATTCTATAACTATACACAAAATGATTTTAATGTAGCAGACGAGAAGGGTGTAAAGCAAATTCATTATATTTGTGAATATCAGGGTATGGGGATTATTTATCGTGTGTTGAAAAATGTATAAAGCTCCCAGAATATTTTGTCTAAGAAGTCGAGTTTTGAGGGATAACTTCTATTGCAATAATTTTTATTCGTTCACTGATAACGGCAAAATTTCTTCTTAGACTAACACTAGTATTGTTACAGAATTAAACTAATATTTTACTGTTTTCATTGTCGCTTTTGTTCACTAAACATTATTAATCGTATGGTCACTGACGTTGGCATACTTTTTTCTCTTATTTATCTCTCTATTAGAATCTAACTTTTTGCTATTGTTTAATCAAAAACTCAACGATGCAAACTTTTTCAAGGGCATTTCCAGAATTGATATTTATATTTTAGAACTGAGCTGTCTTCGATAAAGATAGATCGTAAGACGACTCAGAAATTCATTAAGCTATTGTACAAAGGCACAATTTCTCTCATTTCTGTCGTTTCGTCTTTTTAAAAAATTTTGTCATTACTGGTTTTTATCTGAAATAGAAGACCATGCCCTTCTAGTAGCTTTGTATGTTGCATAACTGACAACGGTCTATTATGGCAGACGATTTAATTTATTTGTTCCTTTTAGGTTACTGTGATGTAAATAATTCATGTCAAAACAACGCCACGTGTTATATGAATGCTGGACGAGAATTATGCGTATGCACTAGCGGTTTCACAGGTTCCGTATGTGATCAAGAAATAGATGAGTGTTTAACTTCACCATGTTTACACGGCGGAATATGCACCAATCTAATAAATGGTTATTACTGTAATTGTTCAATGTTATTTTACAATGGAACAAATTGTGAAAGTCGTAAGTATTTGTTACATTCTGACCGTGTGTAAACCGATTCTTATTCCTTAGACCACAACATATTTACTTTTTTTCTTTCAGCTATCAATGATCCTATACAAGGTCAGCGTCATTCAGCATTTGTAGCTGTTCTCTGTGTTATTATTGGGATTGTTGGCCTATTTACATTGTCGGATTTGCCTTGGGGAGATATTACTCAATCTCTATATTGTCCATGGATTAATTGTAGATGTATGAACGGTGAAAGCAATGGTGATGATGAAGATGAGATATCGGTGGATGGTGAAAATGAACAGCCAAGGATAGCTCAAATACAAAAAGTACACAAACCGAAGCAGCCTAATTATCATGTCATGGATACTGTATGGAATCCTGATAATTTAATCACAACAAGTCGTAATGAAAATCTTAACTCGCGTTCATCAGTTTTACAACCAATGTATAATGGTTACCTCTCACCTCTACCTGGTGTAGACACTCGTATAGTAAATGATGTTACAAGTCCGGACAACCAGTTAATCAAAACTTTTGCTGCCGTACTAGCTAAACAGCGAGAAAATAAAAAGAAAGCAAATCAAATGTATGCAGCTGACATTATATCAAACACTCCAGAAGCAATGAAACAAGATGATCAGGCTGTCTCCGTTCCTCAAAATATAATCACACCATGGACAGTTCAATTGCAACAAGAATTACGTAAGAAAAAGAAAACTGAACAGCAGCAGAGTTCTGATCATGACAGTATGGGAAGTAGTACTTCAATGGCGCAATTGATTCCGAAACTCAAAAACAACAGTACCGATGTATAATAAGTAAAAATGTTGTTTTTCAACCAAGTCCATCGTAGTACTAACCACCAGTTGCTCTCTTGATAATTATTGTCACTGTTAGTTTCTTTGCTTAAAGTTTAACTGAACTGTATGTAGTTGCTGATATTTTCTGCCCTACAATCGTGTGTCGCATGTAATGCTTAGACGAAGAAAAAAGAGAGGATGTACAATTGTAACATTTTTAATTTACTATATTATGCAGTTTATTTTTGATTTTTACTCCAAGACAACATTTACACTTATTGAAAAAAAACTTTTGAAATATTTTCTCAAAGTTAGTAGTTAATAATTTAGTTCAATTCTAATACTCGATATTGATAAATTGGTTTATAGAAATCTCGAGCATTTTTTGTATAAAATTTTGTCTCCTATTTTCAACATAACAGACAGTCATCAATATAAAATTAACCTGCATAATGTCAAATAGTATAAGAAAAAGAAAACAATGTGTCATACATTCAGAGTACAGATATTAAAAAAACTTTTGAACAAAGAGTAAAAGAGATTAAAAACAACAAAAGAAAAAAATTTTCATATATGTTTGACGTCATAAATATAAAATGAGAATACTTGATTGTATCTATTCAACTTTACTTAATAAACTATTATGTTGTTCGTGTTTAATTGCTGGACGACCCAAAATATATATTAAAAGTGGATGCCAAACTTCTTCAGGAAGAATTCTAAAAGAAACAGAAATAAATCAGAATACACGTACGTAGAGCTTGATCGATTTCCTGTCTGAATAATGGTCCCTTATCGATAATTAAGATCTAACTTTTTTTTCAAAAAAAATCAAGAAATATATACTTACGATCGTAAGATAAACATCATTCGCAATGCAAAACGCGGAAGCAATATTGGATTTTGATGACTTTTAAGTCCACACATTATTTGTCTTGCACAATAATCAAATCTCATTAGTTCATTACCTAAAACAGTTTCTTTACCACTAAAAATGAATAAATAAAAAATACATTTGGTCAAAAATTTCAAAAGAACTAGAACATACAATTTTCTCAAACTATTGTAAACACCTCCGTCTATATGAAATGGCATAACAGCCGTTGCACGAACACCGTTAGCTTTAGCAAGAATCAGTTCTTGATTGATTGTTTCCGTGAAATCTAAACGAAAGGTAAGAATTGTTAGAATACAGATATGCAATTTAAATAACAGTTTACTCGTTAATGCTGCTTTTGATGCTGAATAACTTGAAGTATAGGCACTTCCACTTAAACCAGCACTACTTGTTATATTAATAATATGACCATGGTTACGTGCAATCATGTCGCCTAATAAATCTTTTGTTAACTAATATATGATGAAAAAACATTGAATTATTGTCTTTAAAGGAAAATATAATTCTTACTAAGATTGGTGCAACTGTATTAACGATTAATGTATGTTGAATTTCATCGTCTGTGTGATGTAATAGTTCCTTAAAACATGCGACGCCTGAACGAAAAAATAGACAGTAACAAATACTCAAAATAAATCACGTTGTTTTTTAAGTGTATATACCAGCACAATTGACAAGAACTGTTATTGTCCCAACGTCTTCCCGAATAGCCGTCAACGTAAATTTTAAACCATTTAAGTCACTAAGAAAACAAATTATAAAGGTGCATGCAATAGACTAAATTTTAGAATTTAGTTATACAAATCAGACTATTTTAAATCTTTTAAAACACCTTGAGGATAAATAAAAATGTTCTGAGATGTTCTGAGTACTATTATGAGTTCGATGGCATGTGACAGAGATAAACGATATAAAACTAAGTCAGTGAAACTTTGACTCTCACCTTAAATCGCATTTGTGCGTTGATATTTTGATATGATCTTTTCCATATATCGTCGTTAGTTCATGTTTTAAATCATCCAATGGTTTTTTTTGTATATCTAATAATACCAGGCATTTACATTCTTTGGCAAATTCAATGGCTAGTGCACGACCAAGACATCCACCTATGAAAATAAACTCATTTTAGACTACTGTTTTCGTATAGTTTTAGAATGTTTACCGGCTCCCGTTATTAAAACTGTATCATTTCTAAACGATACTGGCTTTTGTTTTTGTACAAATTTTGACCATAAATATCGTCCGTAGAGTGTTACGAACATAACTATGGTAAAAAAATGTTCGACTAATGTTGCTACCCACCGAAACCTGAAATACATATAAAAATTATTAAATAAATTTGTACGATTTATTGAAATACAAAGATGATGCCTACCACACTGGAGCTTTTTTCTCATAATCACGTAATATCTCATCGGCAACGGGAGTTGTAGTTGCAGCTTGCATCTAAAAAAATGAAACGACGTTTTTTAATTCGAAATCTACCGTTATCCGTGGATGACACTTCAAAAAGTTGTCTTATAACAGTATACTCTAGTTTAGAACATGTAAACTGACAACTTTGATTTCTATAGCATATTCAGAACGTACAATGTAGAAAAACTCTATTAATAACGTAAATTATCACACTAATCGTAGACTGAAAGAAGCCTTCGTTTTCCTCATGTTTTGCTGACGTTTAACAATCATCAGAAAGTTCAAAGGCGAGAAAATCTTTAATCAAATTTTTAAACTTACAGTCAGATCGCTATATACCATCTTTACTTCGTACAGGCGTTTCCTTTTGCTTGTACAATACAAGAAAAATAATGAGAGATATAGAAGTTATTTAGCGGAAAAATGGACTGAAGTGATAAAAAAATCTCAGTTTCAGTTGATAGTGTTTTTTTAAACCTTGTATGAACTTTTCTATTATCGCACACGCTTGTTATCTTCACTATGAAAACAACAAAGATTATAAACCATAGAGACGAACATACACAGTTAAATGTATATGTATATGTGCACATGTCTTCAAAAATAAATTCTGTTTGAAATATCCAGTGCAAAAACTTATGGTTCATATAATAAAGAAGTTTATTTTAAAGGAGATAAACTAGAAAATATTTTAAAAAAATAAGTCGTTCAATTGAGAAAAAAAATGACTATTTGTTTTAATTAAACTTTGAATGTCCTAGTTAACAACAAAGCTGGGGAATCTTGACTTAGATTCGACTCGGACTCGGGAAGAACGAGGGACTCGTGAAACTCGTGAGAAGACTCGAGTCATTTTCTTTCTATGAACTCATGAATATTTTGTACACTTGATCTTGCTAAATAAAGTATTAATTTACAATTAATTTTTGAGAAGGAATATTATCTTATTTCACATCAAATAGCAATAAAATATCTTCTGTCTACATCAGCTCCTGTAAAAAGAATTTTTCATGTAGTGGTATTGTACCATATGACGATCGATCTAGCAAAAAAGTAGTTGAACGTTACACTCCGAACGAGAATTAAAGTAACTCGGACTCAGAAAAGGAAAAAGTCGCTCACTACTGGTTAAAGCTTCCCAAAGAGCTCTGAGCGGAACTCACGAAAAAATGACAAATTCGCAGGAAGTTCTGCCGGATTTTCTTTTCAAGAGGAGTTTACTGAGCGTCTTCAGGTACTTCTCAATTTCCGAAAAGTAGGGACGGAACATCCGAATACCCTCGAGCTTTGAAGCACGCACCTTTCAAGTTTTTCATTCACTCTTTCATCTGTAAGGAACGCCGGCTTATCAAAAATTCTTCGAGTCTTTCTCTCTAGTGATTGATCATTAACATGTCCATGGTTTTGACATATACGCAGGTGGTATAAGAAAGCTGACATGCACCACCCAGACAAAAAAAAGATCAGAAGTAGGAGTATGAAGATGCATCCGTTTTCGGAGTACTCCTTTTGAAAAAAGCCACTAAGAGCACTCTAGAGTACTCTTTTTTTTGCAGTAGTCCACAATACTCATCAAAAAAGAGCGCTTCGAAGCACTCCTTTTTATAAAGTGCGGCCGAGGCACCGCAGAGCAGTTCAAAAAAAGTGTAGTTTTTGGAGTACTCCTTTTGAGAACATGTACTTCGAGTACTCCTTTTTTTTTCTTGTTTTTCCAAAAAGAGTGCTCCATCATACTCCTCTTGATATTTTTTTCGACTGGGCAGTACTCAGAGTATAGACACATTTGAGACGTAATGTCACAAATAAAGAGCAGATAGTACGTATTTTCCTGCAGACTTTTTATTCTGGAAGCGGCATACTAAGTCTTCAATATAAATGCGTCAGATATTTAGGCTTGAATAGATGGGACTGCTGACATGTGTACAACTGATATTTATGAGTTCGAAACGAAGAAAAAAATGTGTAAGAAGTGAGATTCAGACCAGGAAATAGTTCCGTCAATATTCTTAACCGGCTAGTAAAGGCAAGTAGCATTTAGGTCTCGACTTAATCTAAGTTACGGATTGATTTAAGTCTAGATGTTCTATGAAAAATCTTTAGGTGTTGGCTTGAGTGCTCATTCTAACTCAAGTTTGTCTTAGGCTCCGTGGACAGTTTTTCTACAAAGACCACGATGATATTTCTCTGAGTTCTTTTACCAGATACGCAACAAAACTCTTCCTTTGAAGGCTAAACAAAAACTCTAGACAAAAAAGTTTTTTGTAAAATCCGATAAGAATCTTTATAAAAATCTCACTCAATTCTTATATAAGATCTATGAACGCGTGCGTTATTCTTATCCTCTTATAAAAGTCTAATCGCATTCTTGTAAGTTTCTTGCAGCTTTCTTATGAGAAACATGATCGATTCCCCCTATGAAAAAATTTCAGTGCAGCACGGAAAAAGGTCGACCTGCCAGTGCCCACGGGATGCCATGTTCCACTGGCTCGGCATCGGCGCGCACTAATGCCACATTTTTCCAGTCACCGTTTTGTTTTCTAGGATTAATTCCACTATGTTTTACTCGAACGTTTCTTCGAGAACATGGTACAATCAAATTTTAATGCTTTCGTCGAGCAGACGATGCTTTCATCATATCATAATCTCTGTCTGGAAAGGAAAAGTCAGTGTGCACAGAGAGTTAGATCCAGGGATCCTAGATCTTCTTATTTTGGCAGAAAAATTCTGATTTTTGGAACTTTTTCTACCTCGTTTCTGCTCTTTTTTGCCCTAAGATTTTCTGATATTCTACTTCTTGTTCTCAGGTTTTTCTGATTTTGGACTCCTGTTTTCTAATTTTCGTGTTTTGGATCTGGGATCCCTGGTCAGATCCTAAATTCAGCGAAAGTATACGGAAAATTCGACTTTTTCCGGGACTTTTTGGGGACATCTGAGAACCCTGCTCATAATAAATATTTAGGGCTTTTCGTGTAAATTCTATAACTTTGCAAAGAAAGGTCATGTAGAGGTGGGATATGTCTCATTTTGATCAGAATTTCGTGGGCTACAATCGTGATCTATTAAGAGAAAGTTTTAAGGACTTTTTGAAATTTGTGGAAAACCACTCTAGGAAGGCCTAGCGGCCCGTTTCATATGGATATTCGGAATCAGCGTGGTCGATAATCTATAACCCACTAGGTTTCAAGCAGAAAGCGATTAGACAGTTAAAAAAGGTCCGCCGTAAGTTCAACTAAGTGCGTATGTCATACACAACGGTCATTTTGTCTTTTTTTCAAAAACATTGTTTGATAGAATACACACGTGACGTATATACAAACCTAATGGCATGTATTGAAGCGTCTATATACGTCATGTGTGTATTCTATCTAACAATACTTTTGAAAAAGAGAAAGAATGACCGCGTTGTGTACATATACGCACTACACCTCATTTTTTCTTAACGTAGTGCAGAGATCATTTCTCTTCGTTTTATTGCAGTTTATCTGTTTTTGATCTCTTTTAAATCAAATTATTCCAAAAAAATAAAGTATTTTACAGGGTACGTAATTTTTCAATAGAGGGAGAAAACATGAATTCAGAAAAATAAATCCTTCTTAATTTCCCATAGGCACAGAGTTGAATTATCCTTCTTCGATCAGATTGTAAAATCAAAACGTTCTTCGTCATCTTTCCCAGATAATACATCAAGTCTAAGGTATCTCCTTCTGTACAGTCTCAATCAAAGTGATTGTGTTAGTTCTCAAAATAAAAATGAACAGAAGTGAGAAAATATATCCAAAGATTGACGTCTTCGCAAATGTAAGCGTCCTCGGTGTAACATCGCGTTACCGTCGGTGGCTTTCAGAATGTAGCAAACATCAGTTCGATTTTGTTTGATGCACAGAGGATTGGGTACCAAACACAGCACGAAACGAATTTTATTCAGAAATGTTAAGTCGAATCGAATCATATTTTCCTGATTCGTTTCGTGCTCTAGTGTCAAGCTATACCACCCCACTCACACAATGCTAGATTGGCTCTAGCAACGAATTGATAGAGCGCTAATATCCAGGGATAGACATTCTCTGAAAGTCCAAGCGTGACTGCTCAATGCTTCGCATACGGCCATTTTTATAAGATTCTTAATTAGCGCTTCTAAGATGCTTACATGCCTGTTACAAGTTTCGTGTCTGATTCTATTATCAGAACCGATGACTAGAGGAGTATCACGTTTTTGTGTTCGTACTTACTTTTTAAAATACTGTGTGTTTGCAGCAACGAAATTAACAGTAAGGTTTTTTGAGTAAACACACAGATTTACAAGCAAATCCTATGCTTTTATACTATGCTAATATTCAGCGTACGGTTTAACCTTTTTGTTTTCAAGATAACATAATGACTCACAGGGTAAATGAAAACAAAGCTAATCGAGTAAAATGGAGAAGAAAAGAAACAAAGAAGTGCAGAATTGCAAATAAGTTATCTTTCAACTTTGCTCCGTTAAGACACGTTTCTGTCTGTTGGTACTTTGATCAAACTCAAACTGAATACAAAGTTCCTTCTCATAAAACTCCTACAAGATTGTTGCTGGCCAGAAGTGAGAACGATCCAGCAGAACTGTCAACATCATCAATTATGAGATATAGTTAGATTAAACACTGTAGGTTAGTTAAACAAAATTGATTAAATTCATTCCCCACCGTATAAATTTCAAGTTGTACATGAGATATTCCGGTTTTGATAGAAAAATTACCAGTTTCATTTTAAATAACGTTACGATTTTCAGTGCTTTAATAAATAAGGTTCACTTCTAGTTCTTCAGTGTTCTTACGAGGTGTCGATATGGTATTGTCCACCTACATTTATTGTTTATGATCGATTAAGTAGGATGTAAATCAGTCTAAAACATTACTACAGATTCCGTTTGAGACTAATTTGCGAAGTTCTCACTAAAAAACATCAGTAGTTTACAAAACGATATCGATTTTGGCGATTTACGATATTGTTGGAGTACACCAAGTGTACTAGCATGAGCCACAGTGGGACTTTTG